CTGATAAAGAAAATTCTCCTTTATATAAATGTAATTAACAATCATCATATTGCATTGCTTATCAGTAAAAAAACATTGTTGTTTGAACAAATTTTACATTCAAGAATAAATTTTTGTTTTTCTCTCATTCGCATTGAAATAATCCCGCCTTATTATAAAACATTGCTGATTTAGATAAAAAAATTCAAATAACAACTCCAAATAATTACTGTTAAACAATTTAAAAAATAAATATTTACAATATTTTTCATTCACAATAACATTTAACAAGTGCTTACTTTCAACTATGAACTTGTTTGCAAATTGTTAATTGAGCTCTTGCTTGGTTTTTTACTTATAAAATTTACGAAAAATCAACTTTCTCAAAAATTGATCAAATAATTGATAAAATGGAACCAAGAAAAAACCATTTCAAAAATAAAATAAACCAACTTACTGGCGATAAAAAATATTCACATGTAATTGAAAACCTATGGAATGATTTCAAACAATTGTTTGACAAAAAGACTGGTTGAATCCCGAATTTTCATTTAATAAATGGCCACTGAAATTCGTCAATTACTTGAAGAAGGAAAGGGAATTACTGCTTCTGCAATAAAAAACTTTTACCAATGAAAAGCAAATCCTAGAAGAAAAACTCTAGAAGTGATTCAGCAATGGGTTGAAAAGGGAAAGAAGAAAGAGATGGAGAATGTAGTCAAAGAAGATAATAAAAACAATGATAATAATAGCAGTAGTAATAGTGAAAGTTGAATTTTTGTCAGAGTGCCTAAAGAATAGATAATACTTATAAAAATGACTTTGGGTTTGAGTATTTTCCTCTCATGCAAGTACTCTGAAAATTATTTAACTTTATATTTTTATAAATTATTTATGTATTTTTCTTTTTCTATTATTAGTTGAATCAAAATAAAAATAATTTATCGTAAAAAAAATTTTTTTTTTAAAAATTAATCATCCCTTTTGTCCATTTTGCTTTTTGTCAATGATATATTCTTATCAGGTGAACTACCTAATGATCTAAGATATTTAGAACCTGAACCATTATTAAAAATTGAAGGATTGTCATGGCAATTTCAAAAATCTGATGAATTGATGAGCACATTTAAAGATGCATTATTAAATCATTATGAAAACTTTATATCAGAAAGAGGTAAATCCAGAATAGCAACAGAACTACCACAACTTGCAAAAGATTGTGCTGTCAATCATTCAGCATTACAAGAACAATTGAAAAGTGCATTAGTTTTTAATATTTCTTTTGAGAATGGCACAGCATTAGACATAAATGATGAGAAAGATCCTGATATAGCAATAGGAACTAGGATGTTATTTCAACTTTTACCTAATTGGCATGGGAATTGGAATGAATTTAAAAAATCATACAAAATTGGATCAGTTAAAATATTAGAAGGAGTTGCCAAGAATCTTGGTAAAAAACTTGAAGATTTAGCAATATTTATTACTGTAGATGGTATGCAAGCAATTGAGACAAGAGATGGTGATGGATTAAATAAAACATCTTTATTATATTCTTATTTAATTACAATTTCAAATCTGGTACAATCACAATCAGGACTTTTTATTATTGATACATGTACAGCAACCACTCATCATCCAATTGAACAATACCTGGCTAGTTCTACCCAAAAACGGGGTTTTCTTCCTACTGTTTCTTTGTCACCTCCAACATATTTAATCAATAAGATACCTCAAAAAGTTTTTCCAGATCATCCTATTATTGATATACTAGTTAATGATATGGGTGGACATGGACATGCCTTAGAAGTATTACAAAATTCACTACATAACAGAGACATTGACAATTATAATTTTTTGGATTTGATGAATAATATACATACACAGCTAGAGGATCATTACAATTACTGGTTAACTAAAGCAAATGAATTTAAGCCTCTCCTTTGTGTTATTTTAGCACACCAGATAATAGAATTAGATCATCCAATTCCTGGCACAAAATTTTTTCCAGAAGATTATACCCATTTGGGTTTAGTTAAATTTGAGAGATTGGTAGATAGTAAAAGTTGTAGAGGATATTTGATTTGCCCTTATATTTGGTTATGGATGATAGTGCACTTCACAAATGATCCTATTTTAAGAGATTGGACTTCAATTATATTCAAGAAATGCAGCACATGGAAGATACTTCACTCCCCCAGGATTGCAATATTGGCAACACTTTGAACATTTTGTTGCACATATTTGAGTTCTCAAGTCTGAAATATTTGATAACAATGAATGGATTACATTAGAAAAACTTTATAATGGTGCAAGACATTCATTTGGTGATACTGGGATTCACAATCAACATTTACAGTTGGAAATGGCAAAGGCATGGATGTCAACATGATCAAGTCAGTGGCAAAATGTACAATGTGAGAATAACATAATTGAAATTAATGACTATTACAAATATTGTATAATAAATGCACCTAATGCACCAGCTGGTGATTTTGTTTGTGGGATATGTACCAATAAAGATAAAACAGATAAGTATGTGATGAGGTTCATCAATGTAAGTTGTTGAAGAAAGGTTCAGTTAACCAAAAAAACTATGTGAAAGAGCATGAAAAGACAGCAGCTGATGATAATGTATTTATATTGTACACTTGTGGAGAATCTAAGGATGATCTTCCAAAGTTATCAGCCATAGTTGATAAAGACTGCTGGAATGCTTATTTTGGGATTTTTGCTGGATGAACATTTATGTATGCAAGAATGGATACTCCAAATTTAAATACTGCTACCACCACTCAACTTACTGGTATGAAAGGAATAGGAAATGAGTATGCTCAAAGAATATTAGGCAAATGCCCATTTAGAGATTTAGATGATTGTGAATCTAGAACAAAAATCCCCCGGACATTACTTGAACAGTTTCAGTTAAAGAGTTCTTTTATAAGTAAATTACCTTTTTGATTATTTTTAAGAAATTGAAATATATAATCAAGATTTTATCGATGCTTAATTCATATAGTAAAAAAATTAAACAATTAAATTTTTTTAATTTTAGTATCAATAACTCGGGTAATTTTTATCAATAATTTAAATGTTATAATCTTGTAAAGAAATTATAAAAAATCAGTAATAAATAAATAATATTTCCAATTTGCATAGCAATTATTTAATAATAAATCAGTTTATTAGTAAAATAATTAAAAACCTACAAAGTGAACTATATAGAGATAAGTGTATATGAAGAGCAATAATAAATATAATGGCTCTAACGAATATCAAAAAGCCATTGATTTTTTAGAAAACGGTTACAATTGTGGTTGTTCTTCAAGAATTCCCAGAGAACAATTTGCAGAATTAAGGGAATCCTTTCAAGCTCTTTTCAAACCAGAACAAGACATATTTTTAATGGCCCAACTTAAGGCAATGGATGGTGAATTAAGAGCACTAGCAGACACCTTAAAAGAAAACCAGATCTAACTAAAGAACTTTTTATCATTGAGATCATAATACACTACTTTGTCAAGAAACTTATCTCAATATGTTAGGAATTGGTAGAACCTATTTTGAAAATATTAGAAACCATCTGATAAACAATGTCTTTTGCCCAGAGTCCATGGAAACATAAAAAGGATGCCTCAATGGAAACTAAGATGATGATTGATAAAAATGTTGCTGAAGTAGCAAAGAATTTTCTAGAAAATTATACAGAAGTTCATGGATTACCAAGTCCAGGAAGAAGTACCAATAGAATACTCAATCAATTGTCTTTTACCAGCTGAAATGAGTCATAAATCTGTGCACAGAGATTTTCTGGCTGGTATGGAAGAAAATAGTAATTTGAAATTCTTAAAATATGATGCTTTCAGAAAACTATGACATCAATTGACACCAGAGATTCAAATTATGAGTCCAAGAGCTGACTTGTGAGATACTTGTCAACATTTTAGAGATGGTTTACATTATAATGCTCACCAAGAGGAAGAAGCTAAAGATTTACTTAAAAGATTTAAAGAACATCTGTCCAAGGCCAAAGTAGAAAGAAATTATTATAATAAAAATACAAAATTAGCAGAAGAACAAAGAAAACTAATTGATCAACATTATTCAAAGGGTAAAACACAATATTGTAGTATTGATGCCACTGCTCATTATAGTTATGATTGAGCTCAAAATGTTCATGTGCCACATTTAGATCAACAAGTAAGTAAAATTTATTACCTTAGTCCATGTAAAGTTCATTTATTTGGTATTCAAGATGAAGCAGTAAGGGAACAAATTAATTATGTTCTTAATGAGGATGAAATTATAGGAAAAGGTCCTAATGGCACTCTTAGTTTGATCTTTGATGGAATTAAGAAATTGAATAAAGGTGAAAAACATTTAAAGATTACTTGTGATAATGCTGGTGGACAGAATAAAAATAATGTAACTGTTTGGTTTGGAAAGGCCACCAGTTAGGGATGCAGATGGGGATTTTTGATATGCAGATGTGTAACTTGGCTGCATTCTCACCACTATTTCCAATTGTTGGAAAACCTAACTATGCTCATGTTCAATCAGTTATGTTTTTCCTAGAATCAGCCCAAAGAAATCTTGGACAGAGAGAATTGTTGAAAAGTGCATGTTCAATAAATCTAACAAGAGAAGGACATTACTTCAGTTTTGATGAAGCACTTGAATATTATGGTGTCAAAATTCACAAAACAAAATATTACTGGAGATCCTACAAATATTGATAACCTTATGCTACAAACTCCATCAGTCCAAACAGAGCATGAGTGTTTGGAGCTACTTGTCTTGGAATTTGTTGGAGAAAGCACCATTAAAAAAATGAGGAGTGTCCAAAAAAGAGTCAAAGGGATGTTATGTGGTCAGTTGTTGATGAATTAATCAAAGCCTTTGATCTGGAAGATCCTACAGATCATGATTTTTTTAAAGATGCAAAAGAAATGAATGAAAATGGCTTTAATAACATGTTTACATGTTATGAAAAGGGATTAAATCGCCTTGATAATCTCTTAAAACAAGAAGTTTAGAAATCAATACCATATTCCACTGTTGGCAGGAGAAGTAAAAACCTTGGTATTGTAAAAGTCAAAGAACATCTTAAATTACTTAAAAAAAATCAAGATGAAGAAATGGAAGTGGTTAGGGAAAATTTACCTGAAGAAACAACAGCTGTACAAGTTGATGAGATAATACAGGAGGATGCAGGATCTTCTTCACAAATAAATAAGAACGTAAAAAAACAAATGAGGAACTTGAAATCCTTAAAGAGGTATTCAATCACACTGAAGATTTACCAAGAGATGTAGCAAAAAGGTTATCTGAAGATCTAATTAAATTACATAATTCATGGACACACAGTAAAGTTAGAAATTACTGGTATGATAATGTGAAAAGAAAAAATAAATAAATTATGATGTTAACATCACAAACCTTTTCCTCCTTCTTTAATGGTACATTGTTTGGTCATATAATCATTTGAATCAATTTTTTTATATCTAATTATTTTTTAATATGTAAACGAATAATCAATTTAATATTAATTAATATATAATCTAATGTTGAATATATTCATTTAAATTCATTTAATATAATTTTTTATACCTAGCATTAATTTTCTTTTTTATTATTGTTTCTTATTTTTATTAATCTATACAATAAAAATAAATAATAATAAGTAAAGCTTTAAATTTAAAGATTATTATCATCTATAATAATAAAATTGATTATTAATCTATTAAATTGATAATAATTAATAATATTAAATCCAATATACTAAAATATTTTTCTTTGTAAACTTTTGAGTAGAACCTTAATTAAAGAGTGCATTTTCATATTAATATAACAAAAGTTGGAAAACAATAATGCAAAAAAAATTTTGTCAAAAAGTTCTTTAATAATAAAACCATTTTTTGCTTTTAATTTCTTCCTTCCCCAAGAAAACCATCCGAACCATATATTTTCTGAAAGCTCTCAATGTACTTTGTTTTATCATACTAAAACGATTTTAATAGAGCTGTTTTCCGAAAAGAATTAAGCTTCCGAAGTCAAAACTTTAGGTTTCTTTGGAAGGCTATTACTCCATAATCGGAAGAGCTACCAACATATAAAGCTTGCGATTTAAAAAGCAAAGGTGCGTGATTGTTTTTACTTAGAGGCGCGAAAATTGTTTAATAATCGTCCGACTATTAAAATTTAAGAGATCACGTTCAAATTGTTCACTAATTTTTTTTAAAAACTATATTTCAAATTAAAAATTCTTTTTAATATTGGTATTAAATTAAAAAAACCCCCCGTTTTTCAGATTTTAGAAATATAATAATAATAATAAATTATTTTTTAATAATAGACTTTTGATTTACATTATATTGCCAATTTGCATCGGAAAACACTTTTTCCTAAATAGTAAAGTATATACTGTATATTGTAAAAAGTTACATGAATAGAAGTTTGTGAATGAGGTTTAGTTGCTTTTGCTTTTGATAATTTTTTGGAGAAAATTTTTTACCCATGTTAAGTAAAGATCTAGCATATTGATATCACCATCAATAATCTTATGACAAAATGAGAATATTTCTATACTTAACAATATCTATGCTTCTAATGAAAAATGATTTTTAGGTTCTGGAATATATGCATACAGTCAAACATAAGAATATTGCATTTAAAATTCGTTATACCATCACTATTACTATATAATCACGTTTCAACGAATTTTATTTTTTTAAAATGCATAATAACGCGAATAATTAGTTGAAATGAGGTTTGACTGTATAAAATTTCACAATGTTTGCAAAGATATTTGTGGAGAATTAAAAAACTCCATTATTATTGAATTGAGCTCATATTTGAATGATTTGTTGCTCGAATTATTCGTTTTAAGTTCGAATTATTCTTTTTGTTCGTTTATTCGAATCTTTATTTTTTATTAAAATTATTCGTTTATTCAAGTTTCATTCATTTCATTTGTTTTATTTAAGTTTTACACGCTTTATTCGAATAGACTTTCAATGTAATTCAAACACTCAAATTCATAACGAAAAAAACAAATAATTTGAATAAAACTTATTATTATTCAAATGGAAATCCTAATTGTGATATATTTTTTTCAATTCATATAAAAAACTCACAACAAGTTCATCATCTCCACCAACTTTTAAACACATGCAAGCTCATATTGTTTCATGTTCTAAACTCGACACCTTTTAGTAATTGAGTTTGTGCCTCCAGAAAAAAACTTGTCCAACTAGGACACTGGTTGTTATTAGATTGGAAATTTATAAATTTAAATTCTAAATAAGCAGAATGCAAAAATTAGAACAGCAAGGGATGCCGAGTAACCTCTAACCTAAAGCTCTGAATTATTTAGTTTGGTTTTTTAGAAACTGTGACCGAGTCGAAGTAAATCCCGCAGAATATCGTATAATAATAAAAAAACAAAAGGATTAGGGTATCCTCTAAAAATTTTTATGTGTAGGAAACAGAGATTCGAAAGTCAAAAATAAAATAAAAAACTTGAATTTTGTAATTTCTGCCAACAATTCAAACAAAAGTATTTATAGTATGAATAATTTATTTGTATTTTTTTTTAGACATTTTTCTCAAATGAGCATAAAATTCTTATATATATTCATCATTTATGAGTTCAGATAATAAAGTTGAATTTATTAAAAAATTTGCAAAATGAATAACCCCCAAAACAAAGGTTTACAGTTAAAAGAATAAAGAATCCTATCAGAAATTAATCAATCATTATTTAATTTAGAAAATATGTAGATATATTTAATCTTTATCAATTATTTGAAAAACCTCCAATTCATCAAATCTACTACCATTTTCTATATTGATGTTGTTATAAGTCCCAGGAGTGCTAGCAATAGTACCAACACCATATAAAGCAATATCAACGTCTCCCTTACCATTACCGGAACCAAAAACAGGTAACCAACTATGATCACAATAAATTGCATGTTTACTATCAATAACATAACTTAATTGTGCAGTATTAAGATCCTTTCTATTGCCAATGTTAAATATAAAACTTTTTGTTGTATCTTTGTATTCATTTCCATCCCAACTTAGTGGATTATAACCACCAATTAACTGATTTGAGTCTTTTATTTTGACAATTACAAGAGTTTTGTTGATTTTACCACATTTGCGATGAAATGTTTTTGCTTTTAAATTGTCTCTACTACCACGATATAAAAGTTTAAATTCATATTTAACATCACTAAATAAATTGTATGTTGGATATTTTTGATCGATCCAACTTGCAAAAAGCAAAACAAGATTTGGATCAAGTATTCTTGATGAAACTCTTGGCGGCAATAAACTTGAAGTTGACTGTTGATTAGGAGTTAAAAAATTATCTGAAAGATATCTCCATAAGATCATAGGGAATAGCATTTGATATGGCATAACCTTGTTGATAAAGTCCTCATAAGTGATACCCTGAAATCTAAATAAAGGAATTATATCTCCTAGCATATTCTTTAATTCTTCAATATTGTTTTTATTCCACTCTGATATGTTTTTCCCTGCTCCATCTAAAGTTTCAATCTGTCCAATACCCCATTCAATGACATGTTCCCAAATAAAAATTTCTTTTAAATCCAAATCATCCTTTCCTAAAATAGTTATAAGTGTTGGTTTTTCAATATTTTTGAAATCATTTGCCAATAAAAATAATTCAGGTTCATTGCGAATTAATTTTTTAAAATATTTTCGAAGTAAACCAAATGATCGATAATATGATGAAATCTGATGAATATAAATTAAATTCTGTTCTACCCACTCCTTTTCTTTTGTAATTAAGTGACTTTGTAACTCATTAAGCAATTCATCAAATTCTAATTCGTCGCATGCCACAAGAAGTTTAACAATTTCACCAGGATCCAATTCATTTTTATTAATAACTCCATTATAAATATATCTTTTTTTTAAAAAAGTAATATATATATTTTTTTTTTGGTTATTTAGTATAGTATTTACCATAATAATTGATTAAATGTTAAATTAAATTAATTAAATTATTCCTACGTTAAAATAACTTCAAATATTTTTGGAGATATATTATCACTTTCAAATAAAACTGAACCATCCTCAGATCTTTCATAAAAACCATTTGATAGAGCTGTTTTAAAGTATGATGACCTAGCTTTTAAAATTATAGAATGAGCCTTAAAAGTTTTAACGTCATGGTCCACTCCAACTTTAAATTCTACATCATAAAAGTCTGATCCATTCAACAGATCGGTTAAATCATTTACAAGTTTATATATATGTTCTTTATTATGTTCAATAAATGTATTCATTTAAAAAAAAATTTTAAAAAATAAAAAAATTTTTAAAATTTTTGTAAACAATGATGAAATTCCGATTGGCTAATTTGACGCAAATTCTTCACACGAAAAAAGCATAGGTTTGGTTTGGTTTGGTTTGGTTTCATACACGACCCTATTTAATTACCAAAAAAAGTCAATGAATTTCATTTCTTTTTTTGGAAATTCATATAACGAAAAAGCCTTTTAACCAATTAATATTAATATTAACCATTTATATAAAAAATCGAAAAGAATTGTAAATAATCATTTAATGAAATAATGGATCAAAAATAAAGCCTTTTGACCAATTGGCAATTTGTACATAAAAGATTCTAAATGATCATTTAATAGAATAAAATAACAAATTAAAAAAATAAATAGGGTTCCTATTCAAATAAAACAAATAAAACGGATAAAAAATAAAGCCTTTTAACCCAATTGATCATTTGATAGAATAAAATAACAGATTAAAAAATAAATAGGGTTCCTATTCAAATAAAACAAATAAAACTGATCAAAAATAAAGCCTTTTGACCAATTGACAATTTGTACATAAAAGATTCTAAATGATCATTTAATAGAATAAAATAACAGATTAAAAAATAAAGCCTTTTAACTATGGTTCCTATTCAAATAAAACAAATAAAACGGATCAAAAATAAAGCCTTTTAACCAATTAACCATTTGGAGATAAAAGGATTGTAAATGATTATTTAATAGAATAGAATAACAGATTAAAAAATAAATAGGGTTCCTATTCAAATAAAACAAATAAAACGGATAAAAAATAAAGCCTTTTAACCAATTGATCATTTGGACATAAAAGAATTGTAAATGATTATTTAATAGGATAGAATAACAAATTAAAAAATAAATAGGGTTCCTATTCAAATAAAACAAATAAACGGATAAAAAATAAAGCCTTTTAACCCAATTGATCATTTTGGACATAAAAGAATTGTAAATGATTATTTAATAGGATAGAATAACAGATTAAAAAATAAATAGGGTTCCTATTCAAACAAAACAAATAAAACGGATAAAAAGTAAAGCCTTTTAACCAATTGATCATTTGGACATAAAAGAATTGTAACGTAAAATTCCTTGATTTTTAGTAAAAACATACTTTCCTGGATAATCTTTTTTGATTTTTTGTAAATGATTATGGATAATTTGATTAACCCATAATGACTCTTGCAATTTCACCATTTTTGTAGTTTTGACATTTTTCTAACTATTATATAAAAAAGGATAATTATTCCCTTGCCATTGAAACAATATCTTTGATATAATAAAACAACCTTACAGTTGTATATTCTTCAAAATTAATAATTATTTGATATAAACTTTTATTCTTTCAAATTAATAATTCATTGATATAATAAATCTTAATCTTTTGAAATTAATAATTCTTTGATAGCAATCTTATCCTACATATTAAAAATTAATAATTATAATAAAGAAAATGGATCAACAAACTTTTGATAATCAAGACCTCTACTGTAAAATATTAAATTATAAATCACGGGAAACTGATATATAAATCGGAGATGATTCACGAAGTTACACGCAAATAAAATCGGAAAAACTGATCAAGTGATCAAAACAGTTCAATTTATTCAAACACCAATAAAATAAATATTCCAACATTTTAAAATGTAACGAATTACAAAGTCTCAGAATAATATTTAAACGAAAGAATTTTACATGACTCATGTTGACTATGAAAATAATCCTACAGGTTTAAATAATGATGAAAGAATGCATTAATTAGTATAATTTAGGATTTTAAAGAAATCGGAGAACTGATGATAGAACCTCTAAAATGTATAAATACGTTGTAAATTTCTCTTTCATGTAATCTTTAGTTTTTAACTAAAAGTTTTTTAGTAAACTCAAATATTATTATAAATAAACCTTGACCTTGACCTTGTCATTGTCAACTTCGAACATGATATTTTCGTAATGATAATAAATCTATCCCTAACGACGAATTTATACTAATTCCGTGCATAATTATTTTCTCTTATTTTATATTTGTCTCTATTACCTAACAAAAAACAGAAATCCTTAGAAGGAAAATAATATGAAAATGAAGTCTTATTGTTGAACAATTAATCTATTTTTTCCTTTTAATTCTTTTTAGTAACATAAATCATAGCAATTATAAAGCCTAAGATTAAAGTTATACCTGCTATTCATGACCAAATAGATTTACCATCAAACTTTTCTTTATTCTTTGAAATATTGTTAGTGACTTCATTAATGTTTACATATATTATTATTAATAAAATAAAATTACAATTAAAATAAGACATGTTAGTAAATTCAAAATTCAAATTTATACACAATCCCATAATCATATAACAATTCACGTTCCAATAATATTAATATACCGTACATTTTCCATGCATAATTTTTTATAGGGAAAACTTAGAAAACGTACAGTATAATAACTATGTTAAGATATGCTTCGTACAATTGGGATTTGTATCACATACAATGGATATTCAGCATTGGTGAGTTAGTAGATGAAATAGTGTTCCATGTCGCAATCCAAAAAAGGAAACCAAAGTGGTTGCAAAGGTGGTTGCAACCAGGTGTCACAAACCATTTTTATATGTCGCAAATATGGTTGCAACAATCACCAAGAATTGCGACCAGCATCTATAAAATGAAAATGTTCAAAGAGGATTAGTAATGCGCATCTTGTGGAGTTACTTTTTTGATGGTAAAAAAATTAAGCTGACAGATATTCATCACCTTTCAGAACAGATCTCCCTTTAAAAATTCCTACAGTGAAGTCATCTTCACAATCACTTTCTACATTGGTGGATATTCTAATTCACACTTCTCTTTAATTAAATTATGAGTAGCCCTAATATATTTTTTCTCTCAAAGACTAATAATGTAATTTTTAAATATAATAATTTATACACATTTAATCTCATCCAATTGAAATATTTGCAACACTTTCATCAAACTTACCTACTAACCAACTATAATAAGTACAGAAAATGCTATTAACACCTATATGTTTAGTTGCTCTTGCAAAATCTGGAACATGATAAGTAGAGTTTCATCTATTTCTTCTACTTTTACTTGTTGTGTCTCATCCAATGTCAAATATTACATAAAAAATTCAAATAATTATGGATCCAATAACAACAATAACATTATTATTTTTCGTTCATAATTTTTTTTTCATTTTCTGTAATTAAAAACTTTTTTCACTATTTATTTCATTATTTTTTGTTCATTCATTTGGAGATATATATAAAGACGCAAATTTATTTCTTTTAAAAAAATACTTTTCTTCCAATAATGTATAATTACATAAATAGAAAAATTTTATATATTTTCTTTTGATAGCAGGCCTAATTATAAAAAAAAAAGTAAAATATTATATTAAAGTGATTGATCTGTATAATAAACAAGACTTTTGTTAATAAACATACAGACTCCATCAAGATCTATAAAACAATTAAAACAATTAATTATAGAAATGGATGCTATTCTTTGAAAACACCAGTTTGTATTAATTAAATGATTTAATAATAAATTTGTAAAACTTCATGTTAATATTATATTGTAATTCAGGAAAAAGAATAAAAAAAATGACTTCCTAATGCAAGGGTTTAAATAGGGTTTAAATAAAAACATTATATAATTATTAAAGAGTGTCAAATAGCAATTTTATTTTCCATTTAAGCAAATGTTAACCAGCAATTCAAACATATTAAAGGAAATACATACATTGTATAACATTTCATTTCTATGTCCATCAGGGCTCGTGTAATTGATTAATCTTGCAATGTGTTGGAACTATAAGCTGATATGAGTCAAAAATGTGATTAAACTTGTAATATGTTACTTCAAGTTCGTTGATTAATTTACTCATTTCACTATACACATTCTGTGCAAGAGTTGAATTATATGTATGAGTATTTATGACAGTAAGAAAAAATAGAAAATAATTATTTCTTACCAACACATGTGCACTACTTTAATTAGTTGTTTTGAAACTTTGGCCCAGGCATTACAAGATAAAACCTGTGAACCAATAATTCTAGCAACATTTGACCATCAGTCCCAGCAACCTGTATAAATGAAATTCTAATTTTGTTGGCCTATTGATCATTTAAATTTAAACTAAGTAATCCATTAAGTATTGTCTGGTTTATTCTTGCTGATTTGCAACGATCTGAAATAACTTTTGTTGGAAAAGAATATACTGCAAATTCCCACTCACCAAGATCTGTACCTGAAGGAGATATAAACCTAACATCACATCTACGACCCTTAATATGTTTGGATGATATACTTGTAGGGCAGAAAGATTCACCCCTTTATACAAATAGAAATTAAATGGTTTGTAAAAGATCAAGATACAAAAAAAAATTTTTTGAAAGTTATACACTTTGTTACCATTTCTGATTAATTGGTTGCTTCTTTTCTAGTGCCTTTATCACATAAGAAAAAGTTTTGATAATAATGTCACATTCTGTATAATCTTTACCTAGCATATCATTACCATCCAATGTCTCATATAAACTGTGCATAATAAAAGTAAAATAAGTCAAAGTTTTCAAATAAACAAGGAAATTCATATTCACTTACAAGTCAGAATATATCTTAGTGATTTTATATAAACAGCTATATGATTGTGAATCCATATGTTCTTTTAAGCAATATTTATATGCTTGAGTTTCATTGCCAGCTTTTATCATCTTTATTTTGATAAAAATGTGAATGAGTATAGTAAAAAAAAACAAATAAGTAATGAATAACATTAAGGAATCTTAAGAATATATCTACCTCTTCAACTTTACTTATGAATTTATTGCTTTCATCTGATAATTCTGGAATCTTTAACATCCATTCGTAGTCTTTTATAGGGTTTGTATTCACGGATACTGTAAGGAGGTCACACAGGGTTACACACTATTAAAATCAAGTGTTTTTAAGGGATTTTTTGCTGATTTATTAGTGTGTAACCCCCTTAACGGTATTCATGGTATCTGTGAATACAAACCCTTTCTTTTAAAGTGAACCATTTATTCATGTGGAATGAAAGGTCTATAATTCTTGAGGCACCATACCTCAAAATTGCTTTTTCTGCAGGAGTCAATCACTTCTTGCTTTTTGTTGCATGGGCATTATCTGAAATATTTTTTTGAAATATCTCATTAACAGTTTTATTTTCAGTCAGGTTCCATTTATCCACAGTGGTAAAATCCATAAACACATTTAGTTCTGGAAGTTCGTCCCCTTCTTCATCATCAATTTCATTACCATCATTTTCATCATCAGTTGGATATAAATCAAGGGGCATAATATTCTTTAACTGAATATAGAAAAATATATGAGGTTTTCATGTTCTTTTAACTTAAAAACCACAAATAAAATTATCCTTTTATATATTCCCTAAATGAGTATCAAATAAATGCATGATATTTAATAATTTATAAACATTTTTGCTTTTTGTATGATTCAATATGATATATACTTACTTGACTATTATAAACATCATCATTATCATCATTATTTCATTTTTGTTGATTTACAGAAATAACTTCATCTGAGCTGGTGGTAATTACAGTGTAAGAGGTACTAAATCAAACAAAATGAATTAAAAGCAATAGCAGTTATAATAACTACATGATAAACTGAGCACAGATTTTCCATCTATACTTAATAACTAGAGTGATGGCTAGTGGTGGGCAATCCTTAAAACACTTACCCTTGAATTATATTATTGTTGAAATTAATGTTATTGCTTCTTTTATAATCAGTTATTTTGTTGTTATGTGGCATTTTTTTTTGGAAAAGAAGTTTGTAATTATTTATCCTATGGTGCAGATCATCTATAATCATTAATTGCTTATAAACAATTGATCAACAATTATATCAGTCATCCATGATGTCATAATGAGTGATTTTGTTATAGCAATCAACATAGCACTTTTCCGTCAGTCCCATTTACTTCGTCAAAAATCATTTCATCAACAATCATTTCATCAACACCCATTTCATTGAAAGTTTGTTTTGTTGAAAGTTCATTTTGTCAAAAGTTTGTTTCATTGAAAGTTCATTTTGTCGAAAAGTTCATTTCATCGAAAATTATTTCATTGAAAATTGTTTCATCGACAATCACTTTGTTGACAATCACTTCATCAACAATCATTTCATCAACAATCATTTTGTCAAAAGTTCATTTCGTTGAAAGTTTGTTTCGTCAAAAGTTCATTTTGTCAAAAATTATTTCGTCAACAGTTCATTTTGTCAAAAATTATTTCATTGGCTTATGTATCGTACTAATGATAAATGAGGTGATAATAGTGATGGCAACAATATCGACATTGAATATTTTAGCATTGATAATAATTATTGTTTTTTAGTAGAGTGTGTGGAT